TGTGAAATGCAGACTAAGGATTTAGGGATCTAACAGACCTCCCCCACTTGGAGAGGTTGACGTCCACGGCAACTCAGAATGTCTTGCAACATACTCAGCAATTTTATCCTTGAATTGCCATAAGTCCTTAGCATCAATCCACTCGGCATTCAGCCGATCTTCACCCTTCGAATGCACCAAATACTTGGTCCATCTATTCTTCTTGCTTTTCAACAAAGTTTCATGATTCAGAATAACTTCCACTTCTTTCTCAAATTGCTTCCTGATCACGGGCGGCGCTCATTTGACTTGCTGCCTATCAGGATCAGAACCATCCTCAACATACTTCTTCAGGAAACTAACATGAAATGTGGGGTGCACTTTCAACCGGTCTGGCAATTTAAGCCGATAAGCCATGTTACCAACTCTTTCAACAACTTCAAAGGGACCATCAAACATGGGCACCAGGCCACGGTGAACAGATTTGCTGCTAATTTTCTTCCAAATCGGAGGTGTAAGTTTCAACAAAACTAAATCATCAACTTGGAACTCAACATCCCGACTATGAGAATCAGCATACTTCTTCATCCGTTGCTAGGCAACTTGCAAATTGTCTAGAGCTTCATCAACCAGCTCCTAGTTTTCCCTAGCCAATCGATATGCCGCGGGACATTTCCCACCAGTAGTCTAGACAGCAACTTCATGTGGAGTCAAACGTTGCTGCTCGTTTGCCAACTGAAAAGGACTCAAACTGGTTGCCGACGACTTGTGCAGATTATAATAAAACTGCGCCACGTCTAGCAACTCCAACCAATTTCTCTTACTGGCTGTCACATAATGCCTCAAATACTCCTCCAACAAACCATTGATCCTCTCTCCCTGACCGTCGGTTTGTGGATGATTTGCAGTAGAGAATTTCAGCTGAGATCCCATCGTATTAAACAGTTGAGCCCAAAACCACCCAGTAAATCTCGCATCTCTATCACTGATTATATCCTCCGGCAAGCCAAAATACTTCACTACATTGTTGAAAAATAACTCAGCAGCCTTATCAGCAGGGCATGCATGAGATGCAGCCATAAAAACAGCATACTTGGAAAAACGGTCAACAACAACAACGGAAGCCATACCTTCTACCTTCGGGAATCCACCAACAAAGTCCATCGAAACCAATTGCCATAGTCTCTCTGGAATGGGCAGAGGTTGCAACAAACCAGCTTCCTTCTTCTTTTCCATTTTATCCAACTGGCAAACAAGACTAGACTTAACATAAGGCTCAATCTCATCTTCCATCTTCGGCCAAATAAACCTGCGAGATAGCAAAGCCCTCATTCTTTTAACTCCTGGATGACCAGCCCACTTTGCATCATGAGTCTCTTGCAGCAAAATCAATTTCCAAGCACTTGGTACATAAATCCGGCTACCTTTAGCATAAAGTAACCCGTCTTCCAAGTACCGTCTAACCGTGCCTTTCTCAATTTGATCCTTCAATTTTACATAGAGAGGATCATTCAGGGACTCCTCCAAATCAACTCCTTGAAATCTGAAACAACGGCGGTCATAGAGGCCACATACTCCCCCACAAGTTTTCGACTCAAAGCATCCGCAATAGCATTATCTCGTCCCGGCTTATGCTGCCAATCAAAATCAAACTCTGCTAGGAATTCTTACCATCGAGCTTGTTTTGGAGTCAGCTTCTTCTGGGTCTTGAAATATGTATTTGCGACATTATCCCTCACCACCGTAAACTTGGTTCCCATCAAGTAATGCTTCCAGATTTCAAGAGAATGCACTACAGCAGTCATCTCCTTCTCATGAGTAGTGTATCGCCTCTCACAATCTTTCAATTTCCGAATTTCAAAAGCAACGGGATGCTTGTTTTGGACCAAAACTCCCCCTAGTGCACGAACTGAAGCATCAGTGTGTTCTTCAAACGGCAAACTGAAATCTGGCAAACATAACACGGGCTCAATTGCAATGGCCTCTTTCACATCTTGAAAAGCTTTTTCACAGCCCACATGCCAGTCCCAAGCAACACTCTTTTTCAGGAAATCCATCAATGGAGCTACCAGCTTTGAATAGCCCTTGATAAACCGACGATAGTAATTTGCGAAACCAAGAAATGATCTCAACTCAGGAACTTTTGTAGGGGCCGGCCAATCAACAACACCCTCAATTTTCTTTCGGTCCATCCGAATCTTTCCTTCATTGAGGATATGTCCAAGAAAAGTAATCTGCTTCATGCAAAATTCACATTTTCCCTTTTTAACATACAACTCATTCTCCCTCAGCTTCACAAAGACCTTTCTCAAGTGCAAGAGATGGTCTTTAAGGGACTCCGAATAGACAACAATGTTATCAAGATAAACAACTACAAACTGGTCCAAAAACTCATACAACACATCATTCATCAAATTACAAAACGTGGCCGGAGCATTCGTTAAACCAAACGGCATCACATGGAACCAAAGGACCGTCACACTTAAAGCATCTCCTCTCCTTCTCAGATTTCCCATCCGATGAAATGGTCTTGCTCTCAGCCACGACCTTCTTCTTACCCTTCTACTATGACTTCCCATATTTGTTCCCTTTATCCTTCTTAGTTTGATTCCGGTTATCGGCAGAACTGAACGAAGTCTTATAGTCCACCAACTTCTCGGCAGCGGCAACGGCTTGGGACAAATTTTGCACCCTTTGCTGATTCAATTCTGTTTGAGCCCAATTCTGCAAGCCCTGCATAAAATTGAAGAGCTTATCTGGTTCCGACATGTCCTTGACACCCAGCAACAGAGAATTGAATTCCCTCACATAATCACAGACAGATCCAGCCTGCTTCAACTTTTGAAGGGACTCTCTAGCAACCCACGACACATTAGTAGGAAGAAACTGAGTCTTCAACTTACATTTCATGTCAACCCAGGTTCCAATCTTGGCAGCGGACTCGTCTTCACACCGGGTTCGCCACCACTGCTTTGTATCCCCAGAAAGATAAATAACAGTAACATCAACTTTCACTTGTTCCGTCACAACTTTGGTGGTTTTAAAATACTGCTCCATATCCCACAGAAAATTCTCCAACTCCTTGAAACTACGAGCCCCACCAAAGGTCTTGGGTTCCGGCACTTTAAACTTCTCACCCTGAAACTGATCATTCCCACCCGAGGAAGGTGAAGAAGAGGCCAAAGCCCGCTTCAACAAAGCCACATCGTCAACCAACGTCTGAAGAACAGAAAATTCTTCTTCAACTTCAGCCCTTGACACCCTGTCGTCCAAACTACGAGTCAAAGTAGCAACATCCGTCTTAAGGGACTCAACAGGAATATCCAACGTAGCATAGGCAGAGGAAGTCGAAGGTTGATTCCAGACCAACTTCTCCAGATCCGCAACTTTAGCCGACACTCCTTCAATCTAACTCTGGCGGCTGGCAATCATCCGGTATAAACTGAGACTTTGATCATCAGTCCCAATTATCCGTTGAATACCTTCAATGACCGTTTCCAACCGCCCAACCCATTCTGTGACAGTTCTTTGCGTATTCACCATGACGAAACACAGCAGGAAACCAACCGATACCAATCAGAGCAACGAAACAGAAAACGAAGGTCACCAAAGTCCGAAAACGGGCTCCGATACGAACTTGTTACACCCCCGTTAACCGTCTATGGATTCCCAGCAAGAACAAGGCAGAGAATGCCTCGATCCAACACTCACAACTCCCTTTGTAAGTAATAGAAACCGTGAATAAATGAAAAAGGCAAGTAGGCAGCAGAATTTATGGGTAAAAACCCAACCTCGTATTATAAACTCTCAATACAAGGAAATACACCAAGACTTGCACAACACAATTCCCAAATCTCTCATATGGGTTACTGGCTAAGCCAAATCCGAGGTATATAAATGGGACGGCAGTTATAACTACCCAAGGAATACAGGAAACGTGGATACAAAGCCAGTATACAAAAAAGGTAACCGCCGGTAACCGCCCGGGTCACCCTTACCGAGAAAGCTCAACTCAAGCCTGCTACAGCGTTCCATTCTAGCCCAACTCAAGAGCCAACCCGACAAAAAAAGGGACCAACACCACCCGGTACTTAATTTTCCGCATCACATTCATGCCGGCTCCATGTGAAATGCGGACTAAGGTTTTAGGGGTCTAACAATAAACCTCTAAAGAAAAGGTATAAGTTTGGATAGTTATGATTCATCATGTTAAATTCCATGTGAAATTTTCCTATACAACTCATTATCTAATATATAGAGAAATTATCTCATTCTCTTACCAATAAAATGGAAAAAAGACAAAGAGAAAAAAAAAAAAAACCAATTCCATGCACTATAAAACTTATTCCAAACTTATATTCTCATTAAATAATTTATATGAAAATGGGGTGGAAGGGTTGAGTGGGGTGGTTAAGGGATTAGGATGGGGGATGATTATTACCGGAAGGTCGAGGGTTTTATTCTCATCACCATCCTTTTTTTAAAAAAAAATAATTTATATGAAAATATAATTTAGAATCTCTTCCTTGAATATTAAATTCTAATCTATATTAATCCTAATTCGAATAAGTTTTTTTCGTAAAAATATCAATTAGTACGTGAGTAAATTTATGCCGGAGTCATTAAGAAGCAGGTGCAACAAAAGAAAAAGAGACAAATATGGTAGATGCATTAAAATTATAAAGAAGGGTAATATAGGTAGTTGCAAAAAAATTAGCTCTCGTTTTTTTTAAAAAAAACTGTTCTCAAGCTACTGCAAGCTACAAAGAGACAAATAAGCATTAAATTTGTCTTTTGTTAATACGAAAACTCCGCAAAGGAGATACTTCTCATTCGGCCTTTTGTTTTTGCGTACAACGAACACGAAAATCGGCATAAAACCTCCAATCACAAGAGCACAAAATGAGAAATTTTGTGGCTTAATCTCAATACCTATAAATCCCAATCCAAAGCTCAATCATGATACTAATAACTAAAACCATCAGGACTATAAAAGTTTTAAACAAATATATTCGTAGAAAATGAGCAGCTCATTCGCAACCCAGAAGCTAAATGGCAAAGTGGCAATCATCACCGGTGGTGCAAGCGGGATCGGGGAAGCCACCGCCCGCAAGTTCGCCAAACATGGCGCACTCGCGGTGATGATCGCGGACGTGCAAGAAGAAAAGGGCCGTCAAGTAGCCGAATCGATCGGGTCGGATCGCTGCACTTTCGTCAAGTGCGACGTCACGGACGAGGAGCAAGTCGAGTCCCTGGTGAAGTCAACGGTGGAAAGACACGGTCAACTCGACATCATGTTCAGTAATGCAGGGATGGCCAGCAAATGTCCGCAGGACACGCTGAGCTTTGATCTGGACGCGTACGAGAAACTCTTCTCGGTTAACGTTCGCGGCGTGGCGGCCTGCGTGAAGCACGCGGGGCGGGCCATGGTGGACCGGGGCGTTCGGGGAAGCATAATATGCACGGCCAGCGTCCTGGCGTGTTGCGGATCGGAATTCAGTATAGATTACACGATGTCGAAACACGCGGTGTTGGGATTGGTCCGGTGCGCGAGTGTAGGCCTCGGAAAACATGGAATACGGGTGAACTGTGTGGCGCCGGGGCCCATCGCGACGCCTTTGACGTGCGGCGTTACGGGGCTGAGCCCGGAGGAGCTGGAGCAGAAGTTTGAGCCTGATTTTGCTATGAAGAAGTCGGGTTATTTGAAACCGGAACATGTTGCTGATGCTGTGTTCTTTTTGGCTAGTGATGATTCCAAGTTTGTCACCGGTCATCCCTTGGCTGTCGACGGTGGTTTTGTAGCCAGGAATATTTAAATTTGTTAAGAAAATATTTAGTTAAAATTTCTTTTTTTTCGATTTGTGCAACCACCCCCCCCAAAAAAATCGAATAAAAAAAGTTTCTCGAGCTAGGAAAGAAAATTGTCCATCTAAACTATAAAAATATAAACTTGAAGAGATTGAATATAACTCGACCAAGAGCATGTAGTGTCATCTATTACCAAATAAGTAAAAGTAGTACTGCATTTTTTTGGTTAGTGTATTACAAACTCTTGAAAGAAGAAAAAAAAATAGGGTTTGTTCTTGAAATTTGGGGAAAAACGATTTTGTATTTCATCCGAAAAACTGAACTATCAATACTGTACAATTTTCTATATATACACTCCAAGTTTGACAAGTCAAACTTTCTGCAACTCTTAATATTAACACAAAAGATCCCTAAACTAATAAAACTGTACAAAACAGCCTATACAAAAAATACTATGAAAAATTACATTGCAATTGATTGATCTATCCGGAAATCTAAAACCTTTGATGCTTGATTAACATCTTGTACTGGCTCTTGTGAAGTGTTATTCAACACCCCCTCCTCAAGATGAGCATGGGACATGCCCATCTTGCCAAGAAGAACATCAAATGTGGGAGCTGGAAGAGATTTAGTCAACAAATCTGCAATCTGATTTGCAGACCTAATGTGATTCAGTTTGAGGAAGCCCTGTTTGTAGAGATCCCGAACAACATGCCAATCGATATCGATATGCTTCGTGCGTTCGTGAAAAATAGGGTTGGCCGAGATGTGAAGTGCTGCTTTGTTTTCACACCAGAAATCAATGGGTAAAACGACAGAAACATGAAGATCAGAGAGAATATAGCTTACCCATTGAAGCTCCCCGGCTGTTGCAGCCATAGCCCGGTATTCGGCCTCAGCTGAGGAACAGGACACCGTGGGTTGCTTCTTAGTCTTCTAGGAGATCAAGCAATGACCAAGAAAAACACAATATCCTGTTAAAGACCTCCTGGTGAACTGACAGCTGCCCCAGTCAGCATCGCTATAAGCTTGAGGCTGAAGAGATGTACCACTAGGATAAAACAAGCCTTTTGAAACACAGCCAGCAAGATACTTAAGCACATGAAGTGCAGCTTGCCAGTGAGATTGCAAAGGAGTTCGGACAAACTGACTAAGCTCCTGCACAACATATGCAAGATCAGGCCTGGTGAAATTAAGATACAGTAAGCGCCCAATGAGGCGTCTGTACTTAAGCACTAGGAGAAAACAAGCCTTTTGAAACACAGCCAGCAAGATACTTAAGCACATGAAGTGCAGCTTGCCAGTGAGATTGCAAAGGAGTTTGGACAAACTGACTAAGCTGCTGCACAACATATGCAAGATCAGGCCTGGTGAAATTAAGATACAGTAAGCGCCCAATGAGGCGTCTGTACTTAGCAGCATCAGGAAAAACAGGACTAGGGTCTTTAGCCATAAACCTAAAATCTTTAGAAAAAGGCGTAGCAGCAGGAGTACAATCCAACATCTCTGTATCGCGAAGGATATCAGTGATGTATTTCTGTTGACAGACATATATTCCAGCAGAAGACCTAGCTATTTCCATACTGAGAAAGTACTTAGCTATACCCAGGTCTTTAATCGAAAAAGCATCTTCTAAAAAGGTTTTAAACCGTTGAATTTGAGCTTCATCAGAACCAGTTAGAAGAACATCATCTACGTAAATAAGAACCAACAACTGATATGCAGGAGTGATAAGAGTAAAGAGGCAATGATCATTAACAGATTGCTGAAATCCATAAACAAGCAATTTGGAAGTGAATTCAGCATTCCATTGCCGAGATGCTTGCTTAAGACCGTAAAGAGATTTACGGAGTCGACAAACCTGGCCAGGAGCAGCTTTACTATAACCTGGAGGAGGGACCATATACACTTCTTCATCAAGAAAACCATGAAGAAAGGCGTTATTAACGTCAAGGTGAAGTAAAGGCCAAGAATTACTAGCAGCTACAGCAAACAAAATGCGCACAGTCACAGATTTGGCAACAGGGGAAAAAATCTCTGAATAATCTTCACCCTCAACTTGAGTGAAACCTTTAGCCACAAGGCGAGCTTTAAATCTATCAATACTCCCGTCAGGTTTACATTTAACTCGATATACCCATTTAGAACCAATCGATTTCTTCCCTGGTGGTAGAGAGGTAAGCTCCCAAGTACCATTACGTTCAAGGGCATCTAATTCTTGGTTCATTGCATCTATCCATTTTACATTAGTCCGAGCCTGATTATAAGTATGAGGTTCTTGGAAAGTTGACAAGTTTGCAAGGAATGACTTATGAGCTTTAGAGAAAATACAGCGATCATTAGAAATGTAACTGGAAGGGGAATAAGTGGTACAAGAGTTTACAAGCACAAAATCTTCAAGGTACTGTGGTGGTTTAGTGATTCTGGTGCTACGACGTATGACAGGTATTGGATTAGAATTTTCATGACAAGAGAAAAGTGGTTCAGATGAAGAAGAAGAATCAGAATCAGAATATATGAGAGGGAAAGCATCAGAGGATACACAATCATCAACAGGAATAGGTAACACAAGATTAGGTTGAGATTTATTGGAAAGAGGAAAGACATCTTCATAAAAGATGACATCACGAGAAACAATGGTTTTGTGTAAAGAAGGACAATATATTTTGTATCCTTTCTGCCCAGAAGGATACCCCACAAAAATGCCTTTAAAACTACGAGGGTCGAATTTATCCCGGGTTGGAGTATTGTCAACAGCAAAAGCTAGACAACCAAAGGTTTTAAGAGTACTTAAATCAGGTTTCCTTTTGTGAAGAATTTCAAAAGGAGATTGCCAATTCAACATAACAGAAGGCAATCTGTTAATGAGGTGAGTTGCCGTAAGAATAGCATCTCCCCAAAAGGTTTTAGGAAGGTGTGATTGAATCAACAGGGATCTAGCAACCTGAACTAAGTGTTGATGCTTACGTTCTACCACTCCATTTTGCTGTGGAGTATAAGGGCAGCTTTTTTGATGCAAAATGCCATTTTTAGCAAACAATGTTTGACAGATCTCGCTTAGAAATTCTGTCCCATTGTCGCTACGAATGGTTTTGACATCACTGTGAAACTGAGTCCTAATCATAAGCAGAAAGTGTTCTAGAATGCTAGCAACTTGGCTTTTATATTTCATTAAAAAGGTCCAAGTACATCTGCTATAATCATCCACAATAGACAAGAAAAAATGAAAACCATTACTTGTAGCATGTTTATAAGGCCCCCAAACATCAATATGAAGTAACTGAAAGCAAGCGGAACTTTGTATAGAACTAGTGGGAAAAGGTTTTCGGTGTTGCTTAGAAAGCGGACACACTTCACATACATTATTGTTAACAGTGCTTGCAGAAACAGGAATTACATTGGAAATATGGCTGAAAACAGCAGAGGAAGGATGACCTAGTCTATTGTGCCAAGTGGCAAAGTCAATGGTTGTGTAAGCCTTATTCGAACTGAACTGTTTGGCTCTTAAAAGGTACGAGGCATAGTGTTGTTGACTTTCTTGGATAGCTTCAGATGTGAAAGACGATGGATTAATGATGTACAGTCCTCTGATCACTTTGCCAGCTGCGATTACATGACCTTTTTTAAGGTCCTGCAGCAAGCAAAATGCATCAAAGAACTGGAAGGTCAAAAAGGATTGTGCAAGTTTTTTTACAGACAAGAGGTTATGCTTGAATGAAGGAATATACACGCAATCTGTAAGGGTCAAGGTTGGAGATAATACTACATCTCCTATTTTGTGTACCTCTCTTATACTACCATCAGGCAAGAAAACAGGTGTATACACAGTTACATTTCTCAGATTTATCATATTTTCTAAACTATAGCTCATATGATAAGTTGCACCCGTGTCATCAATCCAATCATCTATGCTTAAACAATCAGCATAATCAGAACTAAGTAAAAAGAGAATAGAATTACCTGCAAATTCATCGAATTGTGGAAGATTTGCATAATGTGCTGATCCTCCTGGATTAGCATAGTGCATAGATCCTCCTGAAGCAACAGAATTATCCTCCAAGTGCCCTTTTCCTTTCATCAATCGACTGACTTCCTGCTGTACTGCATTGGAAATCAAGTCTCGCAACTTGTTACTTTCTTCTGTCTTGTCTTCAAAAGGTGTCTCTGCCAGATAAGCCTGCCTCTTAACAACCTGATTCTGTGTTGACATGTTCCACCAATCTGGACATCCTATTAACTCAAAACAGTTTTCCTTGAGGTGACCTGTCCTACGACAATTTGTGCAGATGAGAAGACTTTTATCCGGCTTGCTAATACTTGTTTTACCACCACCTCTACCCTGTGGTTTTGAACCCTGTGATTTGATACTTTCCTTCTTGAAGTTCTGCACTGACTGTGTCTTAGCCACCATTGCTGAATTGTCACTTGACACTGAACTCGACATTCCTACACTGACTTGTTTATGCTTCTCTGCCTTAAGCAACTTCGAATATACCATCCTCAGTGATGGAGGTGGATCCAACATCAATATAGCACTTCTTTCTGGTTCATAGACTTCATTAAGTCCCATAAGAAACTGCATTACTTTATCCTCCATATCTCGTTCCTGAATTTGTTCTTTAAGTGTACCAGTCGATACCAAAGGTGGTCTAAACTGAGCCAACTGGTCCCAAAGGTGTCTTAGTTTACTATAATATTGAGGAATGGTTAAATCACCTTGCCTCATTGCAGAAATATCACGTTTCAACTCAAATACCATAGGAGAATTACAAACACCATAAGTCTGAGCAAGTTCATCCCACAATTCCCTTGCATCATTTACAAATTGAAAATCTACAGCAATTTCAGGTGACAAAGCATTTTTTATCCAAGACAAAACCATACTATGTACTCGTCTCCATTTCTTGAAGATTGGAGAACTCTCATCAGGCATTTCACACGAACCGTCAACAAAACCGTACTTATTCTTAGATTCTAAGGCAGTAATCATAGCATTACGCCAAATCAA